ACAATGGGAATTGTTTACAGTGAGAGCGAGTCAGACACCTCCAGCGTCGGGCCCTCATACGATCCAGAGGACTGATGGCAATATCTGCTGATATTACCATCAGTTGGAGAGCTTTCAGCCCCGCTCCTGTGCCAGGTAAGTCCATCACGGGCTCACCATAGCCCGTGCTACTTGGAACTTTTAGTTCCCAGTAGCTGAATCTTAAACAACAACATCAGTTGGAACTGTCGTATAGGGGACGTGAAGGAGGGTCCACACCCGGTGTACCAGTGGTGGCCAGGATCCAGATTCACGAAGCAGTTACGCAAGTACTTACGAACCTTTCCATCTTTCCTCAATTTTTGACGGCTTTGGTTACATATATTTAAACAGTTTACAAGCATAAAAACTTGCCAATCAACTGTTGTTATTGTTATAAACAGCCTCCTGGTGCTTCGGAGCTCATTAACTGTTTAATAATTGTAAACAAAGCCGCCAAAGATTGAGAAAACATGGACTGGTTCGTAAGTGCTGGAGTAATTGCTTCGTGAATCTGGCCCCCAGGCTACGCCGGACGCCCCTCAACACGTGAGTCAACATAGGAAATGCATGAATTCAGTTATTATGACGGAGTTGTGGTAGTGGTCACGAGTCAGCTGAGTGACTCAACAGCGTGTGGAGGATGAATCAGGACAAATAATTCACCAAGGAATCCCGGAGTGAGGTGGAGAGGTGAGTCAGGGAGAGCAATGACAAACAAGCTATGTTTAGATTTACCAATATAACGAGAGGAATCTGGACGGGAACTGGAGGCCGTCATATACGATACACCGAGCTGTTGCTGTTGGGGAAGAGCAAACTTGACAAAATAGCCACTCAAATCATCAGTTACAGCCCCCCCCCCCTCCACACAAAGGAACCACCACAGCACTCTGTCTTTCGCAGTTATTCAACCACCAATACCTTCAACGTTTTCCTCAATCATAAACGAGTAAAACTATAATTTTACTGGTTGACTTGCACACATTATCTAATGACCGCTATAATTATTTTTCGACCTCCGGGGCAGATATAATTCCAGTCCTCGAAAATAAAATTTCGATCTTCGGGGCAAATGAAAACAAAATACCAATTCAACGGATACTTGTGTAAAGGAGGAAATGTAGATGTTTATCTCTCAGAATGTTTGGTAATATGTTTATTGTTTGTGATGTGTGTCTATGTATGTATTAACACGATGTACTGAACGGGGTGAGAATAGCTTGAGCTACCTCATCCCTTTGTGTGTATTTTACCTCAATAAACTTATTTCAATTTAATGGAGGCCGCTGTAACCCTTGATACTTGCAACTGAGAATGCCAGAGGGGGACAGGGGCGTGTCCCTGGTGGCAAGTCCGTCTGTAGTTGCAGAGGTGTTGCTGCTGTGTTGAAGCACCACGTTGGGCCGGTAACCGGTTTGTGTTGTCAAGGACACAGCAGGTTTGGGGGGGCTGGGGGAGTGTGTGTTATGGGGGAGGAGAATGGGACCTTGAGGTGTCTGCAAATGACTGTGAAACAATATATTCACCACTAACCCACACCGAAGCAATAAGATGCTTATCTTAACATACTAAGAAGGTTAGGTAAGGTCGGTGTTTTCTATGAAGCTTTTCAAGGTAAACTAGTATGTTTAGTATGTCACATATGCACGTATTTAATAAGTCAATATTGACTATACGAAATTGCGAGAACGGGTTGCCAGTTAAGGCAGTCGATTTGATGATGTGAATCTTGACTTTTGCTTTCAGAGTTCAGTTTATTTTCTATGCCAATTATATATACCTCTGTTGACAAAGTTTATATATATATGTCTCATTGAATATGACAGCATATTCTGTATTCTCTAAACTGATTGGCAAAAGTCACAACACCATTCAGGAACCTAGCTTCGAGAAGCATTTAGATATCTATACACTACCTACGTGAGACCAGTTCTATAGTATGCAGCCCCATTGTTCAGGTTTTCGCTTCAAAAAGCACATAAGGAAACATGATAAAGTACGGAGGTTTGAAAGATGGCTCGCGATAGAGAGAGAGAGAGAGAGAGAGAGAGAGAGAGAGAGAGAGAGAGAGAGAGAGAGAGAGAGAGAGAGAGAGAGAGAGAGAGAGAGAGAGAGAGAGAGAGAGAGAGAGGAAGCATTGTAGCATTAAGGGACATAGGTCGGAGTAAAGCATTAGACAGCGACCGGCTGTAGAGGCGGGGCCACAGAGCTAAAGCTCGACCCTGGACCAACAAACAGGCGAGAACGCGAGGATAAAGAGACAGGCAGGACCGTCAACATTGTGTGGAGTGGTTATCGACTTTTGTCTAGTGACTCACAGACTATCTTGCGGGCTCGCCATAGCCCGTACTACTTGCCCCCGCTCCTGTGCCAGGTAAGTACTGTCCTTGGTGACTCACAGACTATCTGTACTACCGCTGGTAACTCACAGACTATCTGTACTACCCCTAGTGACTCACAGACTATCTGTACTACCCCTAGTGACTCACTGACTATCTGTACTACCGCTGGTAACTCACAGACTATCTGTACTACCCCTAGTGACTCACAGACTATCTGTACTACCCCTAGTGACTCACAGACTATCTGTACTACCGCTGGTAACTCACAGACTATCTGTACTACCCCTAGTGACTCACAGACTATCTGTACTACCCCTAGTGACTCACAGACTATCTGTACTACCGCTGGTAACTCACAGACTATCTGTACTACCCCTAGTGACTCACAGACTATCTGTACTACCCCTAGTGACTCACAGACTATCTGTACTACCCCTAGTGACTCACAGACTATCTGTACTACCGCTGGTAACTCACAGACTATCTGTACTACCCCTAGTGACTCACAGACTATCTGTACTACCCCTAGTGACTCACAGACTATCTGTACTACCCCTAGTGACTCACTGACTATCTGTACTGCCCCTAGTGACTCACTGACTATCTGTACTACCGCTGGTAACTCACAGACTATCTGTACTACCCCTAGTGACTCACAGACTATCTGTACTACCCCTAGTGACTCACAGACTATCTGTACTACCCCTAGTGACTCACAGACTATCTGTACTACCCCTAGTGACTCACAGACTATCTATACCACCACCGGTGACTATCACTCGAGCAGGGTGACGCGTATTACAAGTTTTTTCCAGATTTCTGCAAAATAAAATAAAAATTGGAAAACTTTTAAGGCGAGTTGACACCGTCGGGTCTTGGAGGCGGCCACTGGGCTCTGACCCCCGGGGGACGTGGAAGCCAATTACAGCTACACACAATTCAGGGAGGAATTCAAACGTCAGAATAGTTCAATTATAACGCAAGAGAGAGACAACAATGCTAGTAGGCGGGTCATACAGTGCTAAACCCCATTTTCTCGTAAATACTTTGGTGGGGTAAGTACCTCTTTTCCACCAGGTGTGTGACCCCATGACGGTCATACACACCTGGTAGACGACCCCCATGACGATTATATACCTGGTAGACGACCCCATGACGATTATATACCTGGTAGACGACCCCATGACGATTATATACCTGGTAGACGACCCCACGACGATTATATACCTGGTAGACGACCCCACGACGATTATATACCTGGTAGACGACCCCATGACGATTATATACCTGGTAGACGACCCCCACGACGATTATATACCTGGTAGACGACCCCCACGACGATTATATACCTGGTAGACGACCCCCACGACGATTATATACCTGGTAGACGACCCCCACGACGATTATACATCTGGTAGACGACCCCCACGTCGATTATACACCTGGTAGACGACCCCATGACGATTATATACCTGGTAGACGACCCCCACGACGATTATATACCTGGTAGACGACCCCATGACGATTATATACCTGGTAGACGACCCCATGACGATTATATACCTGGTAGACGACCCCATGACGATTATATACCTGGTAGACGACCCCCACGACGATTATATATCTGGTAGATGACCCCCACGACTGTCACACACCTGGTAGACGACCCAACGACGATTACACACGTGTTGTTGCTAAAGATTCGCTACCTGGAACAAAAAGTTCCAAGTAGCACGGGCTATGGCGAGCCCGTAGTGCCTTTACACACACCTGGTAGATGACCCCACGACGGTCACACACCTGGTGAAGGGATCCAGCAGTGTTTCAGGAACCATCTACCTTCTGGCCGTGGGCCTGGCCTCCTAAACAACAGCCAATTGCTCGTTAATTCAACCACTCAAAGAAGCTGTTTATGCATGAACAACGTCTCTCTAAATGGTCCACCCGCGCACCACAAATAACTGATAACAGAACCTAAACACCTAACCTAGATCTAACTTTATTTCAAATACACAGTAGGTTAAAAATTGATGAATTTGGTCTTGGGTTGCCGGCGGCTTTAACGAGCCTAGTATGGTGTTGCTTCCGGGGATTGCGTCAGGAGACAGTTTTCAATTGGTAAATTATATCCTAACTCTTTTATTTATCTATTGAATTAATTGTTAGACAGTTGTTAGCGAGAAATGCGGTGGTGGACAAGGATTGAAAGCTCATTTAAAGTATTACCTCACCAGTTTGAGGGCCATGAATTCCCGTATTACCCACAGAAATCACAATAGTTTGATGCATCAGGCTATTGTGGTTTCTGTGTGTAATGAAGTAAGGGCGAAGAGAGAGAACGGCTTATTGACAGAGCTCGGGTCCATGGGGGGGGGGGGGAAATTGTGTAAAAAAGAAAACCTGGTTTGTGTCTCTGAGAGGCTGCAGGACCCGTGGTAGGTCAGGATGATTTCCCGGTTGCAATTGTTTTACCATGTCGTAGCTCAGTCGATTAAGGCAGCGTCTGGGATCCTCTCGGACGTAGGTTCGAATCCTCGTCACGGCTCTTGTGGATTGGTTCATTTAATTCCCATATATTATCATGTCAATAAGCCCTTCTTTAATCTTAGTTCCCCCCCCCCCACCCCCCCACCCCGCATGCAAGCCCAGAGTGGGGATCAGGTGAATCAACAGTGCCTAACTGATTGGCCAATCTTACTGGTTGACTAACCTGTAATTGATGCTCTTTTGTCACTGCTTTTGGCGTGGGAGTGGTGGAGGGGTCGCTTGCTTGAGGTCTGACCTCGAGGGGGAAATGTTCTCTCCCACACAATAGGTCTCTCTCTCTCTGTCTCTCTCTCTCTCTCTCTCTCTCTCTCTCTCTCTCTCTCTCTCTCTCTCTCTCTCTCTCTCTCTCTCTCTCTCTCTCTCTCTCTCTCTCTCTCTAATGTTGATGTTTTAATAGCTGGTTGGAGAGAGCAATCAAATGCTGCAGCGAACGAGATTAATCCCTATTTTATGCTGAGTTTTGAAAGGTCATTTTAACCCACAATCGACTTGAGAATGGTCCAGGACGGACCGAAACGTCGTCGTCGTCCCTTCACCTTCTAGTGTGTGGTCTGGTCAACATACTTCAGCCACGTTATTGTGACTCCTCGCCTGCATTTTAGCCTACATAATGGTGCTCACTTTCGTACACCGTTGCCCTCTGCTCGCTCACGACGTTTGTACGAATTGTAGAAATATTGTGGCGCAACTACGACCCTCAGGAACTGAGACACTCAGACGCCTACGACCGCCAGGCTGTCAGGAATATCAGTGTTCTTTCTGTAAGCTGTATCTGCCGTCCGGCGGTGGTGACTGATGGCCGGGATCTGTCCCCAAGCATGGTCAGCAAGTCGGGTACCAGGAGCTAAGGTGCGGCGCGCTGGTACTTCTTTAAGGAAGCAATAGATTGTTCAGTAGTTAAACTAATTTCATTCTTGAATTGTGTCTTTTTATATATTATGTTATATTGATAATTGTTTTTGATCAGTTGACGGTAAGGTGGTAAATGTTGTGTGTGTCTTATAGTTTAATGAGGATGTCTGTATGACACTAATGTTGTCACGCATGCCACAGCCGCTGTCTCTGTGTGACACTAATGTTGTCACGCGTGCCACAGCCGCTGTCTCTGTGTGACACTAATGTTGTCACGCGTGTCACAGCCGCTGTCACGGCTGTCAACTGTCAACAGCACATACACTCTTGGCCGATAACTTGTCAGCTACTAACATCTCAATATTCTAACGTTCAGCGAACCTCTAATTATTCAGTTCAACAAAACAGAGCCAAATCGCGGTCACATTTTACGTTCCAGAATAATTATAGAACCTTTGTGATAGGTAGACACATATCAAACAGGTCAAGTATATCGCAACTCTACACTACAATATCGTAATTATACGAGCGTGAGTAAAATAAATAAATACAGATAGTTTTCCGGAAATAAGAGCGCAAGCCCCTTTTGTTTTTGTTTGGAAATGACTTGTACGTTTTTGTCGAGGTCTGTGTTTGTAATGTCTTGTTAGCCGTTGTGGAGAGGACCATGGAGAGATGGTTCACTACCAGTGTGTGTGTGCTTTAGACACGTGGTCTTAGTGAAGAGAAGCGGAGGTACTCCTCTATGTTCATTGATGGCTGTCTCCACTGGTAAATAAAGGGGGGAGGGAGGGAGGGAGGTGGTCTGCCGCTGTCACAATGTGAATACTCAGAGGTCAGATAACTATTGGTCCGGATATTTCCCACAACTCCCCCCCTCTCTCAATCCTGGCCCCTATCAACCCTGGTTCCTATCAATCCCTGGCCCCTATCATCCCTGGCCCCTATCATCCCTGGCCCCTATCATCCCTGGCTCCAATGGCTTCGTCGCCTGGGAATTATGGAGATAAATTCAGGCCTACCTCACTCGATTCATGTTTTCAGATTACAAGAGAGAATTGTAATGAAGAGTTTACTGTGTTGGACGTAGTAATCCAGTCCTCTTCAGACTCCTGCCTCCAGTCCTTCTCAGACTCCTGGCCCCACTCCTTCTCAGACTCCTGCTTCCAGTCCTTCTCAGACTCCTAGCCCCAGTCCTACTCAGACTCCTAGCCCCAGTCCTTCTCAGACTCCTGCCTCCATTCCTATTCAGACTCCTGGCCCCAGTCCTTCTCAGACTCCTGGCCCCAGTCCTTCTCAGACTCCTAGCCCCAGTCCTTCTCAGACTCCTGCCTCCATTCCTATTCAGACTCCTGGCCCCAGTCCTTCTCAGACTCCTGGCCCCAGTCCTTCTCAGACTCCTAGCCCCAGTCCTTCTCAGACTCCTGCCTCCATTCCTATTCAGACTCCTGGCCCCAGTCCTTCTCAGACTCCTGGCCCCAGTCCTTCTCAGACTCCTAGCCCCAGTCCTTCTCAGACTCCTGCCTCCATTCCTTCTCAGACTCCTAGCCCCAGTCCTTCTCAGACTCCTGCTTCCAGTCCTTCTCAGACTCCTGGCCCCAGTCCTACTCAGACTCCTGGCCCCAGTCCTTCTCAGACTCCTAGCCCCAGTCCTCAGCAACAGCACCTTGTCTTCAACTACTGCTGATCTGAAAATGGCTTTCGCCAACACTAGTGTTTCAGCTCCAGGAGTTAGTGGGGGCTGCAAGTCAAGAGCAAGTATTTAATTTGGATTATGGAATACCTGGCAGGTGTAGTAGGGCTTAAAACCTATTCCAGGCGCGTTCAATGGCGTCGGGGACACCACACTTGGTCCCCGACATGTCCTGTCATGTTGAATAATAATAATAATATGAATAACTTTCACAATCATAACTACACGATAATAATATAACTAGTATACACGTTGTGAGGTATATTGTGACGGAGATCTTTCACCTCAACACAACTAATACCAACAACAATAAGGTAATTAAACAGGCAAGTTACATTAATGTGATACATCCATTAACAAATCCATAGGAGCCGTGATGAGGGATCGAACCTATGTGCTGGGCGTGCCTGGAGGGGGGGAGATTTGTTCAGTAAGGTCATGTATACTGACAGTCACACTAACGCGCCCACACGATAAGTATGAGGTTCATAATAATGAAGTTAAGAAAAACACTAGCAACACCTAGGACTAAGCAACACAAGGAACAAAGACCAAGCAACCCAAGCAACATAGCTAGCTTACCAACACAAGCAAGCCCTACACGGATGCTGATACCTGGTTGATGGGGTTCTGGGAGTTCTTCTACTCCCCAAGCCCGGCCCGAGGCCAGGCTTGACTTGTGAGAGCTTGGTCCACCAGGCTGTTGCTTGGAGCGGCCCACAGGCCCTACATATACCCACCACAGCTGTTCTCTTCTCTAACCAAACGGAATCAAACTCCTCAGTATAGAGTTGAGAGAGTGAGAGAGATCACGTCTGAGCCAAGCCTCATTAGGATCCCAGGCAGCTCTCTAGTACTGTTACTCCACTGCACTTTAAACCGTCTCCATCACACCGGAATACTAAAAAGATTCTCAATGTAAATCGCCACCATTGGTTTAACTGGCTTAGAGAACTATTGCAAAAGTTGACCCAGACCACACACTAGAAGGTGAAGGGGACGACGACGTTTCGGTCCGTCCTGGACCATTCTCAAGTCGATTCAAGGAGAATGGTCCAGGACGGACCGAAACGTCGTCGCCCCTTCAACTTCTAGTGTGTGGTCTGGTCAACAGTGTATTAGTATATTAATATATCAGGCCTTCCTCGCTGGAGCAAATGCCTCCTGGAAACAAAATACGAATCTTTTAACCAATCTCAACGCCTCCTGGAAACAAAATACGAATCATTTAACCCATCTCAACGCCTCCTGGAAACAGGAGGTTGCTAGGCCTTAAGCCCAAGACCAAACCAAATCACGTGGTGACCTTGTCTACCTCAGAACACTCCCTCCAGTGCGAGACCTGCATACTTTGCGCAGACTGGCTCTTCCTGGATGCTGCTCCTCCTAGCTGCGCTAAGAACTTGTAATGCATCCTTGATCCCCCGTCCCTCTGTCTGTCTCTCTGTCTCTCTCATGTTACCCATGAAACTGAAATTGATCCGAGTCCTCTTGAATTGAGAGCAAGTCTATCCAGAGTGTCGGGACCTGACCCAACAGCAACTCAGTGCAGGCGAGGAGTCACAATAACGTGGCTAAAGTATGTTGACCAGACCACACACTAGAAGGTGAAGGGACGACGACGTTTCGGTCCGTCCTGGACCATTCTCAAGTCAATTGTCGAGACAATCGACACACACACACACACACACACACACACACACACACACACACACACACACACACACACACACACACACACACACACACACACACACACACACACACACAGCACTGTGACTGGTGATATTCCCCACCAGGTGATGAATCTACTCATCATACAAGCTGCTAGAGTCAGAACATCTTATAGACAGGTTTAAGCCCGGCTAATTACATGACAACTCAATGCCTTCGCTGCAAGCAGTATTCAAGCCGTACATTGCCTCAGCATGATAAGTCAATCCTCGCAATTGAGAGATTGAATAGAAATCCCCTTTGATCCGGCACGCGCCCAATACAAGACGCTTTACAACCATGACTTGTTGTTCCAACTGTGCAGTAGCCAACTTGGGTTCCTACTGCTACTCTCAGCGTTCAATCCCCGACCGTCCATAAGTGGTTGGGCACCATTCCTTTCCCCCCGTCCCATCCCACATACTTAGCCTGACCCTCTTCTTAAGTGCTATATAGTCGTAATGGCTTGGCCACCGATAGGTCCCTACCTCCTACTGCTACAGTAATAAGGTTGATTGACCAGACTGTGAGTACCTTCCCTGGTGAAGTGAGAATATGAGATATACCACGGATATATTCCACGGATATATTAGCCATGAATAGCGGCTGAGGAAGAGTATGTATTATGCATAAGAACATGAGAATTAAGTTAACTACAGAAGGACTATTGACCCATACGAGGCAGCTCCTATTTATGTCCACCCAAAACTCACTCACATATGTCTAACCTGCGCTTGAAACACTCCAATAGACCCCCCTCTCCCCCCCCCCACATCTGTTACGTTACCCGATAACTTGTTCCACAAATCAACACACACACACACACACACACACACACACACACACACACACACACACACACACACACACACACACACACACACACACACACACACACACACACACACACACACACACACACACACACCTGTTACCAAACCCGTATTTACCCAGCTCTTTCTTAAATCTATTTGTAATTTGCACGTTGAGGGAACCATATATCGTGACGAACTGAGGTGACGGGTGTGGATATTGATCCGCAGAGTGTATTCACACACACACAATCGACTTGAGAATGGTCCAGGACGGACCGAAACGTCGTCGTCCCTTCACCTTCTAGTGTGTGGTCTGGCCAACACGCATACACGAATATTTAAGCTGTTTCCAAGTCATTAGAGCGGTCATTACGGGCTATTCATGCCCGTGCCACCTCTTGGGTGACTTAATCTTTATCAATCAATCATTAGAATGTCCGGCTGGTGAAGATAGGAAGGAGGAGGCCTCCTAGAACATAGATGTCATTATCTAATCTTTCTCTTATCTCAGTGGAACTTGCGACCCCTACAGCTCTTTACCTCTTGTGTAACTCTTATATTATACCTGCTGCCTCGCTCACTTATTCTTATGCCAGCTACACAACCGGGCCCACGCATCTGCTATAAGGGCTATACAACTGGCTATGGGCCAGCACAACTGGCTAAGGCCCCCACAAGACTGGCTAAGGCCCCCACAAGACTGGCTAAGGCCCCCACAAGACTGGCTAAGGCCCCCACAAGACTGGCTAGGGTCCCACAAGACTGGCTAGGGTCCCACAAGACTGGCTAGGGTCCCACAAGACTGGCTAGGGTCCCACAAGACTGGCTAGGGTCCCACAAGACTGGCTAGGGTCCCACAAGACTGGCTAGGGTCCCACAAGACTGGCTAGGGTCCCACAAGACTGACTAAGGCCCTCACAAGACTGGCTAGGGTCCTACAAGACCGGCTAGGGTCCCACAAGACTGGCTAGGGTCCCACAAGACTGGCTAGGGTCCCACAAGACTGGCTAGGGTCCCACAAGACTGGCTAGGGTCCCACAAGACTGGCTAGGGTCCCACAAAACTGGCTAGGGCCCTACAAGAATAACTAAGGCCCCCACAAGACTCACTAGGGCCCCCATAAAACTGGCTAAGGCCCCACAAGACTGGCTAAGGCCCCCCACAAGACTCGCTAGGGCCCCCATAAGACTGGCTAAGGGCCCCATAAGACTCGCTAGGGCCCCCATAAGACTGGCTAAGGGCCCCACAAATCCGGCCAAGCAAGCAACTGATCATACGGGTCCCCCGTTCACACACTCTCCCCTAAATTGTATCATATTAGGTTGGAGCTAAGTGCTTCGTACTCTTCACTGCGGCCTCCATGACCTGCTGCTGCTCCATACCCCACCCACCAGTGGGTACGAGGACCCCCATGACCTCCTGCTGCTCCATTCCCCACCCACCAGTGGGTACGAGGACCCCTATGACCTCCTGCTGCTCCATACCCCACCCACCAGTGGGTACGAGGACCCCCATGACCTCCTGCTGCTCCATACCCCACCCACCAGTGGGTACGAGGACCCCCATGACCTCCTGCTGCTCCATACCCCACCCACCAGTGGTACGAGGACCTCCATGACATCCTGCTGCTCCATACCCCACCCACCAGTGGTACGAGGACCTCCATGACCTCCTGCTGCTCCATACCCCACCCACCAGTGAGTACGAGGACCCCCATGACCTCCTGCTGCTCCATACCCCACCCACCAGTGAGTACGAGGACCTCCATGACCTCCTGCTGCTCCATACCCCACCCACCAGTGAGTACGAGGACCTCCATGACCTCCTGCTGCTCCATACCCCACTCACCAGTGGGTACGAGGACCCCTATGACCTCCTGCTGCTCCATACCCCACCCACCAGTGGGTACGAGGACCTCCTGCTGCTCCATACCCCACCCACCAGTGGGTACGAGGACCCCCATGACCTCCTGCTGCTCCATACCCCACCCACCAGTGGGTACGAGGACCTCCATGACCTCCTGCTGCTCCATACCCCACCCACCAGTGGGTACGAGGACCTCCTGCTGCTCCATACCCCACGCACCAGTGGGTACGAGGACCTCCTGCTGCTCCATACCCCACCCACCAGTGGGTACGAGGACCTCCTGCTGCTCCATACCCCACCCACCAGTGGGTACGAGGACCTCCTGCTGCTCCATACCCCACCCACCAGTGGGTACGAGGACCTCCTGCTGCTCCATACCCCACCCACCAGTGGGTACGAGGACCTCCTGCTGCTCCATACCCCACCCACCAGTGGGTACGAGGACCTCCACTTTCTTGTGCTGCCTGTCGCGTTACAATTTAATTATTTTGACGTTCGAATTTGTTGTCGAATCTCGTAAAGTGTTGTAGTGTTTCCTTACATTCCTTCGGCTCATAATTACTTGGGGTTCTATATAGTCTTAATGGCTTGGCGCTTTTT